ATATATATATATATATATATATATATATATATATATATATATTGCTTACCTCAGATTTTTTTACTTGCCTGCCATAATTTTGACCATTGCTGGATTTTTAAATCTGCTAACATGGGAGTTATTATTCCAATACTGAAATATTACTGAAATTCTGCACCCATTGAACAACCCCCTATTTCCCTGTGACCCCAGCCCTTGGCAACTGCAATTCTACTTTCTGTTTCTATGAGTTTGACTACGTTAGATACCTCATATAATTGCAATCATATAGTATTTGCCTTTTTATTACTAGCTTATTTCACTTAGCATATGTCCTCAAAGTTTATTCATGTTGACAGGATAACATGTGACAGGATTTCTTTCCTTTTTAAGGTGGAATAATATTCCATCGTGCGTGTATACCACTTTATCTATTCACCCATCGATGGACATTTGGGTTGTGGAAGCTATTGTGAATAATGGGAATGATGTGAACATGTATATCTCTTGGCTATTGTAAATAATGCTGCAACGCATACGGGTGTGCCACTAGAGTACTTTGATGTAGACACAAATCCATCCCCATGCCTGAAAACAGTTCTCGACTGTAAGTAATAACTGCAGGCTTGAGCTGGCAGAGAGGGAAATGTGGGCCATTTCTGGCCAGGATTCCATTTCTGGTTTTCTCTCTGGGCAACAGCAGAGGGAAGGAGAAAATAGTCTGAATCACTCAGAGAAGAGAGGGTTTCCTGTCTGAAAGATTGTATGCCTACCATATGCAGGACACCATTCTAACACTTTCATATGTACTGAGGGGGAAATGTGGGAGATTTGTTGAATTAAGATAACTATGATAATTAAGATAATTTCCCCCCCAAATTCCCATGACAATGAAAACAGTGATTGCCAGTGTCATGAATGGGCCCAGGAGGGCAGGATATCAGGAGGGAGCATGGAGAGGGCTTGTGTTATTTGAAAAGAGAGTTGAGAATAGAATATATTCAAATTTCAAATATAACACAAACTATTGAAATTTAAGCTTAACAACTTTTTCTCCTGGCTGTTGTGGTATGGGTTAGGACAATAAACAAATGTGTTACGTGGCTGATGTGGCAGAGATCAGTCTCTCAAAGAGCACAGAGCCCTTGCCAGGGTTCTAACTTGATGTTCTTTACTGGTTGCTGGTTAAATAAATCATTTTTGCTGAAAGTTAGTCTTTAAGGAACTTTAGTTTCACTGGGGAGCCCCAGAGTCTGTATCTGGGCTCCCAATTCCTGCCCGTAGATGTCATTCCTATTAAAATCAGTTCACACACAGAAGTCAAAACCACCTTTGGGCTTCCTTGGGGACTAGGAAATATGCCTTCAAGGAGGGAAAGAAAAACCAGTGCAAAGTTTAAACTTAAACTAACTTTCATTGTCGTCTTCTAGTCCATCATTTCAGTCCTTAGAGTAGGGGAATAGGATCATCACAGACTCAACTTGTTGACATCACTTGACTGGAGCTATTTTACTTGTAACCATAGCAAAATTGGCTATTTTATGGTACAGGGAAGCAGAAAAGGCACTGGCCCGAGAGTCAGAGATGGGTTCTAGTTCTAGCTTGTCCTCTAACTAGTTGGGTGCTTTAGACAAGTGCCTTCCTCTCTTGAATATGAGCATACCTTCTGTAAATTCCAGCAGCACTTGGATTAGAATAGCTCCATTCCTTGCACTAGAATAGCTCTAACATTCTGTAAGTTAGGGATAACACTTGATCATTGTGTGCATCCTACTTTTTATTTGGCATTTGTTCATTTGATACATATATACATATATAAAAATCTGTACATGGTAAAAATACAAAATAAGTATTTTTTTTATAAGTTACTCAATTAAACAGCTACCTTTTTAAAGTTTAAAAACCATTGCAAGAAAAGGGAGAAGGAAATCTAGTCAGTCCTTTATATCATTCACAATAAACTTGGTATAAAATATCCATACAAGTGTACAAAATAGTGTACAGTTCACAAAAGCTGTGCAAAGACAGCAAAGTTCTATGAAAAAAAAAAATCAAAGAGGCTTGTGGGTCTCTCTCTGTTCACATCATGCCCAGTGCTCAGTGAAACCTCCCCAGAAATAATAAAAGGGCACAAGATAGAGTGCTTGGTGCATATACTATGCATGCAGAAATAGTAAAGAAAAGGCTTTAAAACACACACTCGAAATAGAGGCCGACTCTTCCTCCCATTTACAGAACTCACTTCTTTGCCCAGAGAGCATTTGGAATATGACACATAGAAAAGACTCAATATTTATGTGGTACCTTAGACTAGAAGGCACGGGTAGATTTTTTTTTTTTTCTTTTTTGAAATTCTTGAGCTTTCTAAGGGCATTGCTACGGGAAGACTGGGTTACCAGTGTCTGGAGTTGGGCAAGAGGCCCTCGCTACCTAAGGTGGGGAGGTGGAGGGATCTAGGAATTCAGGGGTCTTGAAGTTATATGCTTGATGTTGTGACTCGTATCTCGGTTTCCTACTACAGAAAAGGTTTCTTACCTTATAGAGTTGTTGCTGCTGCAGACCAGCAGGGCCTGGCTCACAGCTAAACCCGGGCTGGGAGAGTGAACACCCCACTGTGTTGAAAATATCTTGCAATAAGGAAGCTAAACAGGGGCCCTCGCGGCAAAGTTAAGGCTGGGACCAAGACCTAAATTTAACTTATGCGGAGAGGGCTGTTGGTAGGTGGTGTGGGGCAAGGGAATGTCGTTGGGGGGCAATGGAAGGGGCCAGGGTGCCCTCGACGACGCGACAGCTCTACAGCGGGGAGCGGCAGCGTCTGCGCAGCGGGGGCAAGTGAACACGCACCGAATCCCACCTCTTCAATTTCAAAGCACTTATAATCGGTACCCCGGGCGCGGGAGGGCTTCTAGGACACGGTGATCTCCTCCTCGCCCTCCTCATCCTCCTCGGAGTCGGAGAAGTCCGAAGGTTTGTCGGGGCTGCCAGAGTGTGCGGGCGAGTGGGGCAGCGGCCCTTCGAGGCGCGGGTCCCGCAGGTGCCGAGGGTCGGGGGACGGGTGATGATAGACCAGGCGGTGGCGGAGGCTGCCCGGGCCCTCGTCCTCCTCGTCGTCGTCGTCGTCCCCGGGACCCTTCTGGCCCACGTCGCTGAGGTCCGGGTGCGGATTGAGTTTGGTGGGAAGGGTCTGCTCGCGGCAGCCCCCGCTAGACAGGAGCTCGCGCTCCTTGGAGTTCCGCCACTTCATGCGTCGGTTCTGGAACCAGATTTTCACCTGGGGCGAGAGGGGTGAGAGCAGGGGGGAAGCAGCGTTTAGCGCAGAACCCCCGCCACAGCCCCAAGTGGGTGGGACGGAGGCCCTGTTCTTCCTCTCTTTGCCGGCTCCCCACCCGGTAAAGTGAGTTCGGACCGGAAGTGACCCTTACCCTACCCCCACCAGCTCGGCTGCACGCACCTCTCGCCCTTTCTTCCGGCACCTGGCCCAGGTGGGCGGGGGTGGGGGAGACCGTGGGCCCGGGAGAGACGGGGCGGGGAGAGTAGCGGGCTATCGCGAGAAGCCTCCGCGAAGCTGGCTCGTGCACTTACTCCCTCTCTAGACCTTACCGCGTCTGTACAATGGGACCTAGGCGGTTTCAGAGAACCTTCCCGTTCGTACGATGCGTGGGGGGAAGGGCTCTGGGGAGACTGCCCTCACCTGTGAGTCTTTCAAGCCCAGCTTGGACGCCAGCTTCTTGCGGTCGGGCTTGCTGATGTACTTCTGCTTCTGGAACATCTTCTCCAGCGCCTTGCGCTGCACGTCGGAGAACACGGCTCGACGCAGCATGCCCCTACGAGGCTTGCCGCGAGCGGCCAGTGGCCAGGAGAAGGTCCCCGGGATGGGCACGACGCTGGAGGACGCTGCGGAGGCCAGGGGTGCGAGGTGAGTGAGTGGGCTGTCGCCCGCCCGGGCCGGTGGCGTCCGCCCCACCATTGCGGCCTCCTTAGGTTTTTATCTCTGATCCCTTCATCTCTTTAAAGCTCTCCTTTTTCTCCGCCTGGAGAATAGGCTACGAACCTACAAACCTGCGAGAGTGAAAGGCGCTTTCTGCCCAAATAACTTTCCCTTTCAACCGTGCAAACCCGGATTAGGTAAAACCACGGAAACACAGAAAAGACCCCCCACAATAGCCTATTTCGTTTCTCCATTCAACGATCTCAGGGAAACTAACTTGCGTGCATCAGCTAATATAGCTGCAGAAAAAAGTAAATTGTAAAAATAAAGTAGCCAGCCACTGGGTTCCCCCCTAAGCTTTTAACACGTTTGTGGCTTTTGCATTCTTTAGATGAAAATGAGGTGATTTACTGATTTGATAGAGAGGAGAAAATCCGCTTTGGATTTTTTATGTTTTGAAAAATCCAATCAGTATTCATCTTTTTTAATATTAATCTTTCCTCCCCTCCCCCACAAAACGTAAAGAATTCGGCCAGAATACAGGAAAAGTGGCAGCTAATTAGCACATTGACCGCTTCCCAGTGGGTATTGGCATGATAAAAGGGGGGAGAGTTTCGCTTTAAGGGAGAAAAAAACCCCAAAAGAAACAGAGACTCTAATGAAGCGTGAATGGTAATTGTGTAGTAATGAACTAACAGAAAAAGACTGAGGACAAGCAGCGAAAGCCATATATTACTGGGACAAAAGAGATTTACACTTTCAAACTAAACACAACTGCAGGCCAAGACCATTGGGAGAATACTGATGGCAGAGACTTCTCTTCCCCGAATCATTTTCATTAAATGGACATGAAAAGCTATTTATAAAGCTCGGGTTGTTTTTGTTACAGCATTGAGATGGGGGAGAAAGGGAGCAAATTCCATTATCAGCAGTAGCATGAATGGTGAGGGGGGGTGAATTCTCTCTCCCCCTTTCAGAAATCAATTGCTTGTTTCTTTCGCTGATATTTGGAAGTGCTGTCGAGATTCTACCCATCCCCCACCGACCATGCCCAGTCTCTCTTCCCTTTATAAGAGTTCCTGTCTCCTTAATCTTGACCAGCTGCAGAGTTTTTGAGCCATAGTTTGAGTCACCACTGGGATTCCAGGATGAAAACGTCCTGGAACCTGTTTAAGGTGTTTCTCCTTTAAACCGGGACCCAATTATGGGCTTCCCTCCGACTTAATTTACGAGCTCTAGGATCTTTAAAACGGTATGGCGGTGGGGGGACGGTATGAGAAAGAGTTTGGGAAATCAGGTAGGAAATAGAAGGTTGGGGTTGTGGGAGGATCTAGTCCCCCTCCCCCTGGGCGACCCCAGGCATCCCACACAAGAGGGCACCCCATGTGGTCTTGTGAAAAGCCTGAAGTCCTGAATGAGTCTTAAAGAGAAATTAGCCCCGGCTGGTAGGTGTCTCTCCGCGGCTTGGAGGGGCGAGGGTTGGTCTGTGTGTGGCTGCCCGGAGGAGCTGACCAATTGGTCATGGTGCTGAAACCTTTGTGGGGAATCGTGGCCAAGTGCACTGACTCTGTGGGAAAACGGCGGCGTGAAGGGATGCCAACAGCTCCTCGCCGGGAAGGGAACCGCCTCAAATTTGGACCATGACAATTCCGGCTAATTTGTAGAGCAGGGAATTGGTGCAAAGTGTCAAGCAGTCACTGCTTGTGCTAAATAGGGCATCAAATTGGCGCGACGGATTCGTGAATGTTGTACGCCTTGCAACCTCTGAACCGGAGCGTAACCCCGTGAGGTGGACGGAGAAATATGGCTTCGGGGCAGGGAGCGACGGAGTGGGGCTGGGGCGACGCCCAGCTTCCTGAAAGGAAGGGGGATGAGACGTACCTGGGAAATAAGAAGATCTGATGAAAGGCTGGAAGGAGCCTTCAAAGTAGGGAAA